CCTTTTGAGATTGTTTATGGTCATTCCCCTAGACAGCCCATTGATTTATTACCTTTACCTCCTGATTCCTGCCCCTCACACTCAGCTAAAACTTTTGCCCAGCATATTTATGACTTACATGCCGATATAAGACAGAAAATTACATTAAGTAATGAGAATTATAAATTGGCTGCAGATGTTCATCGTAGGAATAAAAAATTTATTGTGGGAGACTATGTCATGGTTCGTGTGCGTCCTGAACGTTACCCTAATTTTTTTTTCAAAAAGTTACATGCTCGAGCCACTGACCCTTTTCGCATTCTTCGTAAGCTTAGACCTAATGCATATCACCTTAACTTACCTTCGAATATAAGTATTAGTCCTATTTTCAATGTGGAGACTTGTTTCCTTATCATGGTACTTTTGAGCCTCCTATGTTTCCAGCAGGTGTTCCTACAGGTGGACTTGCTTCGTCATCAGCATCAATTACAGTTCCTATTCTTCTACCGTTTCCACCACAGTTACATGACCAGATCGCAGATGTACTTAATGATCAAATTATGGGCTCCTCGAATGGAGGATATCGTCGTTATCTTATTCAATAGAGAGATCGTCTAAAGACTGATAATTCATGAATTACTGAGAAGGAATTTCGTCGGCTTGACCCTGATATGATAGGAATCAAATTATATTTCGTTATAATAGGCGTAGGCGTAAGGATTAAGAGTTATTTGTCATTATGTTTTTCAGGAGTTTAATTATCATTATTACTATTTATTTCTTTTAGAGTTCTTTTGAAATATGTGGTCTCCATATATATATATATATGAGATATGTTATTTATTTTTAGAGACTATGATTGATTATTGATATTAAATCTTCTTTCTAAAATTCTCTCTGTTCTCATCTCCTTCTTCTTCTTTTCTCGTTTCTTTCTTCTTCTCTTCTCATCCCTAATTCTTCCCTAATACGATCTACATCACTATGATTTGCTATCGAAATGGTAAATTTTCCAGCTGATTCAACTTTGAAATAATATGGAGCCCGTAACCATGCCACAGACTGAGTCTTAGAAAAAACACGCCACTGCTACTGAACTTCCTCATTTTCGTGCACTTCTCATGCAACTAGCGGTTTTGAAACCTTCAATAAATCATGCAATGAACACACTGGGTAATATGTCTGCACAAGCTTGTGAATACTTGATCCTTCTTCAGGTACCATTGCCATTACCGGTATCCTTCCTCACTGACTTGATGGATTAGATTTAGCCAGCCTTCAATGGTTTTCCAGACCTAGGTATTGAAATACATTTCAACAAACTGGTAGTTACTACAGAGAAAGTTTCGGGTTGCAATCAACAAACCGGGTCCTAAGCTCTCAGTTTCAGCCTCCCCATCTCACCGCATTTTATATGAGCAAACATTATACCAGAAGTCATGAGCTCTTACAAGTGAGTGCAAGGATATTAGAAGAATCAATGAACCAATCAGAAAAGCTGGTGAAGCGGTAATACCATGCAGCAAGATTGGCTTAGTCGGTGCATTCTCAATCCCTTTCCCCACCAACCAGTCATGAGGTTGAAGTGACAGAAGCTTGCAAATTCCTCTTATTCATAGCACAGTAGAGATATTCTTCAAGACTTTGTGATATGGGTGGGTGCATGCTTGCAGTAAAATAAGTTCGCAAAATCCTCTTATTCATGGCACAGTGCAAACCATGGAACACGAGGATGTCATAGACTGGCTGGAGATCTCATCATGGCCATGATGGTTTACCAGTACTTGTCAAGGAAATGAGTGGATGGACACCTCCTGAAGAGAGTGGCTGAGATCAGTGAAGAAATTTTCTCAAACTGCTAACGCTGATGAAATCTGTAACCCTGAGTGCACTTGGTTTTACATATGTCTAAATTTCAGGATCTCAGCAGCATGAATATCTGACCACCTTCATAGGGAGACTTGGACACTAACAACATCTAGCATGAAGCACGAGCAACACGACCAGCAGCAAAAATCTGGAAGTTGATGCCATTTACTTCTACAGTCTGATGGTAGTCAATGCCCTGCATACGTACATTTGATTGTGTCATTAAAAGATAATCTAATAGAACTCAAAATTTTGGGTGATCAATTTCCAAACATACGAAGCATAAAACTTCAGTAAGCATCTGCTCAAATTCAAAAATGAAAGAATTCAGACCTACATACAACAAAATGTGGAAATAGACGGTGGGGTGAAGAAGAATAGAAGATAATTTTGTGGATATCATCATATAACCCTCTATATTCTCGGTTCAGTTTCATACTTTGCAAGAACATTGCATGCAATCTTAGAAGCAATACATTCCAGGGTAAAACACAGACAGAATTTTCAAAACTTTTTGGGTGATTCTTTTCATAAGAATTTAAAATCATCAAATCAGAGAGCAAAAGGCATCAATTGTATCAATCCAAAACATGACATTTCTAAAACAGTTGGACATTATATCAAAAAAAGAAAAGAAAAAAAGAAGCAAGTCTCATCTGTACATCAAGGCAAACCAATCAGATCCTTTCAGAAGAAAATTCGCATTAGATTGCAAATTTATGGCGTTGAAACAATTTCAAGATAAGCATTGAGTCATCTAAAAAGCTGTAAATGGACTCAAATAATTGCAAAACATTATACCACAAGGAATAACCCCGAACATGGGCCATGGATCAGGTAGGGTTGAAGGCCACTGCTTAGGAAAACAATTGAGCAGAATTCCAGAGGAAGATCAATTAGCTTAAATATTCTTCCTTCCTTAAAGAAAACATTTCGCTAGTTCGGAATCTAGATGTGTGTGTGTGTGAGAGAGAGAGAGAGAGAGACAGAGACAGAGAGAGATAGCAAAGCAGAGCTAGGTTCTAATCGATAATAAATTAGGAGGTAAGCTAGCATGACGAGAACTGATTCATTTGTCTATGTGGAACAGTTTGGATACGCTGATGAGTCTCTGGTAGGCCACCAAGAACACAAAGGTCAAGTTAAACACTGATTTTAGTTCAGCATTAAATTTATATAATAGAGACCTTGCCAGAGCCATAGGAAGGTTTGTAATAAATAATTTTGGGTAGTTACACTGCATTGGGTCGTATATTGAATAAGTAAAACAGAGAAACCATATAATAATGCAGCAAAGAAACAGATAGTAAAGGAGAATTTCACAATGACACACTTAAACATGTGATAAAGTAGGCAATAATGACATTTCTTTAATCTGAAGGGACCAATGAACATAAATTAACAGACACAGTAAAACTGAAATGGCATGTAAGAAACTTTAAACTAAAAATTTTGATGATCAGTGGCAAGTCGATGAAAATAAATTACACATCACACAAGAGTTCCAAACTACCAACTCATACCATAAAGAACATTCGAAATAACTTCAATTCTTCATGCCAATCCAACAGATTTAAGAGAAGTTCAACACAACTCAAACATGATAAGATTTGATCTAATGAGATAGACGAAAGCAAATTAAACCAACAAGAACTAGCCTAATATGGTTGGACTTGGAGAGTTAACCCACGCTGAAGAAGAGCAAACACACCCGTTTTATGCACTTAGAAACAAACAAATTCAGGATGTACACCACAGTTCAATGGGAAATACACACTTGGACAATGGGTAGATGCTTGAGCTGTGAAAGATGCTGAAACAGCTGCATTGACATCCTTTCTTGCTTGAAACATCCACACACGACCTTAATTACTTAAAACAGTTCCATGCTCTCGAGTATAAGCAAAGCAAGTGAAGTGCTTGCTTAGCAGCATAAATATACGGCCATTCACATTCGGAACTAAAAAATACTTTAAGGTGCAAGCATATAACTACAGAAGCGTATGCTTAGTCTTAACGAGAACATTGGTGGATATTTAAGCATCCAGAATATTTTCATGACCATTCAAGACCAACAGGACCATGAACTCCAGAAGCGACAAGAGAGCAGAAGAGGAACAAGAGGGACTGGGTCTAAGAGGGACAGATACTAGATAATTAGTACCACACTCGGTGTCCAACAAAAGCGACCTAAGGACAGGATATGCCATTTGCTTCATCAAATACTGCCTCCAACAGAAGCAATATGATCACAATATTCAAAAGCAGTGTTCTTCCTTTTTCTTTCTCTGTTTTTTTCTTATATAATGGAAAAGATAACATACAGAAATTCAAAAAATGGAAGACACAGCAAGATCCAAGAGAGCTGCACATCAAAAACATCAAATCATAGTGCATAAGCATTATTGTGTTCATATAAAAGGAAATAAGTGCAATTCAATAGTACAAATTAAGCCCTGAAACATATGCTCATTATGTTTGTATGATCACAAGGGCATAAATGCGATGTCAAATACTATGATTTCAAGAAACAAAGAGCAAATGCCACAATCATGTTCCTACAGCTAAGATTATTGGTAATGGCCAACGAATAGGTGGAGGATCATCTCCAAGTGTGTAAAGCACCCCCCTGAACAGCCATACTGATATGAAATTTAATTCATTCTCAGGTGAGGCTCAAGGGAGCTTCTCCAAAGTTGAGAAAAATCTTGAGCCAAACCAATGGATAGCACTAGCTACAACATAGTTCCCTGAAAGAGAATTAACTTGACAAAGAGTCATTTGTAGTTGCCGAATGATTAAAATCTGGGGGTGGGTTCTAAAAATAAATGACATTTAAGATGATTCAATCCAGTTCTACGAACATGAAGCTTTCGATAATGCAATAGACTCGGGGGGGGGGACTTGATATTCCAAGCTTTTGAAGTCCTTAAAGTCAAAAACAAGAAACTTCAACAAATTCAAAAAGCAAAGAACATTAAAAACAGGCATATCCACCACACAATTATCTCCCCTGCATGGGATTGAAGCTATCTGTTATATTGCCCCTGCACAAATAGAACTCAATCTAAATAAATTCATCTGATGTTATAGAGATCCAACAAATTTATCCCCCAACCCACACCCACCCCAAATAAAGGGAAAACAAAAGAGAAAGAAAGAAATGGAAAAAGAAGAAATTATTCTTTTAGATGATTATTCTAGAAAGCAAATATCGGCTATGTTACTTCACCTTGTTAAATTTATGGCTCCAATAAGCCTTATTTCACTGGAGTTCAAAGATATGTTGTAGGGCCCTCTCAGGCCATCTCCACCATATTTTATGAATCCTTATGCAATAAAAAAATTATAGCCTTAAATTAGAATCAAAATAAGAGCTGTATTAACCAGTAAACACTAACTCAATGAATTTTAAAAATAAAAAAAAAATGTTCTCGTTGTGGAACTAATTTTGGTGAATCTTCTACCTCATGAATCAGTAAACGCCAACTCATGAAAGAAATTAATTTTGGTGAATCTTCTACCTCATGAACCAGTAAATGCCAACTCATGAAAGAAATTAATTTTGGTCAATCTTCTACCTTAATACAATCAGTACAGCTATCATTGTGGAACTGAGAATATCAAGCACCCATTTTCCCAGCGTACCCTAATCTCCCTTCCCACATTAAGTCTCTTCCCTCTAATAATTTTGCCCCATTTTCCAATGAGATTATAATAACTCCCACGCCTCTTCAACTTCATCAGATACAGCTCACCAGTGTCATCATCTCGTGCATTAACATTTATTTGATTCTCGTTTCTCAGCTGTTCCTGTGCTTGTGGTGACCAATAAAAGAGAATGTGATCTTCAACTGATTTTCCAGGCAAAGTGAGGAATGGATGATTGGTGTCCACATCAGACAATGTGAGTGCCTTCTTAATAGGCCATTGATCCAGGGCCTGCCCAGGTGCTGCAGCTGCACTCCGCTCCGGTGTAATTGAGAAGTATAAGCATTCATTAGCCCAGCGTAATCTGATCTCTTCCCCAACACCAAGTCCCTTCATTCGAACGATTGTTCCCCATTTCCCTATAAGGTTATAATAATTCCCACGCCACTTTAGTTTCATCACATACACCTCACCAGTATCGTAATCTCGGGCATTCACATTCACTTGCTCTTCGTTTCTTAATATTTCTCGCTGTTGTGGGGTCCAATGCACAAGTATATGATCTTCCACGGATCGGCGCGGCAAAGGGAGAAACGGATGATTCGCATCCACATCAGACAGTGTCAGGACTTTCTTAACAGGCCAATGGTCCTGCGCTAGTGGTGCTGTAACCATCCGCAGTGGTGGTACAGCAACAACTTGCTTTGGTGAAACCGAGAAGTGCAAGCACCCATTAATCCAGCGGATTTTAATCTCTTGCCCAACGTCAAGTCCCTTGGCTCGAACAAGTTTCCCCCACTTGCCTATGAGATTATAATAACTCCCACGCCACTTCAACTTCATGGCATGCATATCACCGGTATCGTCATCCTGGGCATTAATATCTACTTGACCTTCAACTCTCAAGCGTTCCTGTTCTTGAGGCATCAAATGCACGAGAATATGATTTTCAACTAGCTGGCGAGCCAAAGTAAGAAATGGATGAGTGATATCCACGTCAGACAATGTGAGGGCCTTCCTGATGGGCCATTGGTCCGGCACTCCTGATGCAACATTATGATAGGCTGGCCTCTTCATTTCTGTGAAGAAACAATTAGATCCTAATACTTTGGAATTATGGGTAAACAATCAATTAAAATTTACGAAAACCAAAACGCATGCTTTAGTAAAAGAAGCCTCCTAATCAGGAAAGAATAATACTGGCTAACAACTTTTTTTTCAAAATTACAAGAATGAAAATGAAATCTGCCGTGCTGACGTATAGATGGTGTGTACGGACCACTTTAAACAAACCATGATAATAATCATAAAAAATTAATCAACCTCTTAAAGATCCAAACTATGAGAGCCAATAAGCTAATTGAATGCACGTGAATCAAGGGCAATATTTGTAGTCTGCTCTGCCCCAACAGTAACTAATTTGACCACCATAACACCAAAATAATCACCAAGTCAGCAAAGTCATAGCTTTAGTTTAGTTAAAGAAAAATTTCTGGCTTGATATGTAGTGTCTCTATATGCAACATATTGCTAATTTGTACTCATCACTATTGATAATGTCAACAAATTTCCCAAAATATAGGAAAAAAAAGTATACATTCGGACGTGTGCCAACACACACACACACACACATACACATATCTTTACATCTCATCAATGGTACGGGCACATTCAAAGATCATATTCCAGCATTTAGATATAATAAAGTCCTCCATCTATATCTGCTATATTTCTTAAATTGAATCATTGACACCATTAGATGATATAATTTCTACGTTTTCACACACACACATCTTTACATCTCATCAATGGTACGGACACATTCAAAGATCATATTCCAGCATTTATATATAATAAAGTCCTCCATCTATATCTGCTATATTTCTTAAATTGAATCATTGACACCATTAGATGCTAGAATTTCTACGTTTTCCTACAAAAGAGACTTCGAAAGAAAAACTGTTCGTATTCAACCAATTTGAGAGCGAGTAGCCCTTATTCTCAAAGTCAACAATACGTAAAAATTCTTTGCCAGACCAAACTTACCAGTTCGGATCAATTCAATAAGACGAAGAGCCAAACGAGAGGGCCCGATTTTCTGATGCAGAAAAACCCTAGATCCTTGTCTTTGGTTTTCAAGAAAAGATGGAAGATGTTGTGAGGCGGACCCGTTTTTATATAGGGAAAAATTGGGGGAAGTGGAATTAATTACATGGGGTCAATGTGGGTGGTGGTGGTGGTGGCGATTCCCGTGGTAGGGTGGGGGTGAGGGTGTGGATGAGCAAAGGCGGAGGAGAAGAAACGCATGTGAGTTTCGATGAGCCCGTTGGTGGTGATTTTTGCGTGACGATCCATATAGTTGAAGTCGAAAGTGTGTGAAAGGGGAAAAGTCCGAAAATTACATTGTCAACCCCCCAACCAATAGATAACGTCAGACTGACCCACAAATTTTGGGATAACAGACCAGAATTTCACATTTGGGGATTTTTTGAGCTTTAGGTTCTCAACACTTTAGGGTGTGTTTGGTTTAGGTATTAAAGGGTGAATTATATTAAGTTAATTTAATAATAATATAATATTAAGTTTAGATGAGGTTATAGTAACTCAGTATTAATTTTAATTAACTTTGACTTGGTTCACTATTGCCATTTAATACTTAATATTAGATAGTAATGCATGGCACGTAGTAAGCTGTATTATTTTTTAAACGTATTGAAAATACAATAATTTTATTATATGTACAAACTTAGAGTCACACTTTTATATAAAAGTTACATATTATACAAATTCTTATTCTCAATAATTGTTTTGTCATTTTTTATTTAATATCATACTTTATTACTTAATTCAAATATAAATTTAGTATTATAATTATAGATTTATATATTATCTCAAACTTTATTTATTATACAAAGATAATGTTAAATGGTACTCTTGTTGACATCATTTTGTGGCTCGGATGAGAACTAATTATCCGATTCCATTTTTATTTGTACCTGAACCAAACATGTCCTCATATAAGATCAAGACAAAAAAAACCCTTAATTAAGGTTTCTCTTCTCTATCTTTCGTCCCAGTCCCCCCCCCCCCCACACGCACATTCAAAACAGTGAACTAAAGACAATGAACTCAAATAGTGAACATAAATAAATTGTGCTTAGTTAATAAACTTGATTCGATTTTAATTACTTGGTAAAGATATTTCATTTGATTTGAGAAACTTCTATAAAAAACAATGAACTCAAAAAATTAAATTTTTTTTTTAAGAATTTTAATACACACAACAACAAGAAAGTCAATAAAATAAATATTGAATTTCAATGAAACCGAATAATGAAATAAATATTCAAAATCCAAATATTCCTTAGTTTACTGGCATATTTTTCTTACTGTGAAATTAGTACACAACAATAAAATAAATATCGTAATTTCATTGAAACCGAACATGATATAAATATTTCAAAGTTTAAATATTCCTTAGTTCACTGTCCTATTTTGTTTTTTTTATAGTGAAATTAGCAAACAAAATAAAATAAATATTGAATTTCAGTGAAACCCAACAGTGACATAAACATTACAATGTCCAAAAATCTCTTCTTTCACTGTCTTATAACAAAGTAAAAATAAAAATATGTTGTCCTATGAAAATCAAATAGATATATTCCTTCATTTCACTATTGTATGACAGTGAAATTATCATCTCATTGCCAAATTACTGTAAAAATTACAAAAAAATAAATGAAATAGTAATTTGATAGTAGAATTTACAATTGAATAATTGATATTTATCTCCAATATCAATCTGTTTCGTACATAAAAAAAAAATAAATAAAGACAAAAGTTCTTCTAAAAGGATTACTATTTCTCCACAACAAACTCTCGGGTCCACAAGAATTCTAAAGCATAATTCTAGAGTCCTTGAACTAGTCACCTTTTAAGATCTTCAGTGGATGTGCTAAGCTCCATTCTGTTTGTCGCTGCTTTTCGATCCATCCTTTTAGGGGTGTTAATTGAGATGAGTTATTCGGGTTCGATTCAAGAGTTCGACTCGTATTTTAAACGAGTTGAGCTAAAATAATTTTTTAGACTCGTTTACAAAGACGAGCTTAAAAAAGTTCGGTTTAAACTCACAAAACTTAGTTCGTTTATACATAAAATAATCGAGTTATTTAGACTTGACTCATTTTCTAAATAAATCGAGTTTGGACAATTTTTTAGTAAGTTCGTTTAAGAAAATAAACTCATCAAATTCAGATTCAAACTCGTAAAACTCGATTTGATTAACGTCTTATATCCTTCAACTGCCGAAGGAGTTTCTTTTGGTAACGGTATGCCTCGTCAGTTCCTTAGATGTAATCACAAAGAGGTGAACACAGAAGCAAGAGATTTGCTTATGAGGATGCTCTTAAAAGATTATTTCAGTAGATTCGCTGTCAAATTTGTGATTTTTTTTTCTTGTACTTTTAATCAAGTTGAGAATTTCAATGCAGAAAAGTTTTGATTTTCACTAATGTTTCTCCATGAACCCATTTTTTTTTTCTTTATTGCTGTGAACATGATTTAGTTTCCCATGGTATCTTGGATTGAAAAGAAGATATATAGCTTTGACTATTACATGTTTTAAGTCACCGACTTGAAAAAAATAAGACAAATTCATTTAACTTATAAACACACCAATAATTACCCGTGCATGAAGATACTATATTATTCGTAAAAAATTGTAAATATTTTTTCATAAATCAAGACAATATATAATACAATTTCAACAATATAACGATCAAATTGATATTGTTCAACCTGTATGCAGAGCATATATAATCAAACTTTTATATAACGAAAATCACGCTACAACTACGACAACATATTAATTCAAAATTTTGAAAAAAGTATAATTATTATTGGTTAAAAATCCAAAATTTTAAAATTTTTAATAAATTTTATCTCAAATTTCAAAAAAATAACTATTTATTTATCTGTAGATTTCTACCTAAATTTCATAACATTATTTTTGTACCATTTTTCTAATGTGAGTTTGTGTAACTTTTGTGATGAAAATATCCAAAAGTTTCATATGAATTATTGTAAATGTAAAATATTTTGCTGAGTAATTAAAATCAGTTTTCATTTGAGTTCAAATCTCTATTTTCACTCCAAAAATCTTTATTATCATCCTATTTAATTTCTTATTATTAAACTACTAAACCCACTCTTTCTATACTTATCTCATTAGTAACTAAGTTCACCTTATGCTACCCCGCTTAATAAGTAAACCCACTTTATATTTTGTCATAATTAGGGTTTCATTATCTATTTCATCTGATGCCCTCACAAAAATACTTTTTTTTAATATGAATTTTTTCAGTGAAATACATGTTAGTATTACTTTTCAATTTAATTATATATTTGATTTTTTGTTTGTTGTATAAATTTTATTATTTTTGGTATGTTTTGATATCTCTATCAAGTTTAATAATTTTTTATTTAGAATGTATATATGTGTATATATATATATATATGTATATATACTTTTCAGATTATTTTGTGGTTTTTTTTACTCTTATTTAGGTTTGGTATCTATGTTTCTTATTTTTTTTCTTGTTCGATTTTGCGTTTGTGCTTGATACTTTTTTTTCAAGTCCGCTTTTGCATCTTGTGGTTTCGCGCTTTGTAGTTTTATTTATTTATTTAATTTTTGCTTGATTTTTTTAGTCCTTCTTATTTATGTTTGCTTTCTTTTTTTTTTTTTTTTTCCTTATTTCGTTCTATTTTTTTTTTAAAAGGGGTGTATGTAGTATGTGGTGGATATAGAAAGGATAGAGTTAATAATTTAATAATGAAAAATTAAATGAGGTGGGAATGAAGATTTCAAGGTGGAGATATTTCCACCCTTTAAGTTTTAGCAAAAATTTATACTTTATACACGACAGTTAAATTCAGTTCAATTCGAGTCTTAATCATAATTACGTCAAATTAAAAATTGAATTTACGTTCAACTCAATTAACACTTTTATCTTAAACTTACAAACTAATTCTTATCTATTTCTGTTTACTGTGATGTCATAACTTTTTTTTTTAATTTAGTTATTCTTTATTATTTTTATAATCAATTTCACTTTAGCGTCAACTTAAATAATTGTAAAATTCAAGCAAAGTTAAATTTAATTAAGAATATACACTTTACTCAACAATTAAATTCAACTAAATTCGAACACTAATCATAATTACTTCAAATCGATAATCGATTAAAATAAAATTTGGAGGAGGAACTTTGATCATTTGATCAATAATCTGAAAATAATCCGAGCCACGAAAAATTCAAGACAAATAATGGTAGACCTTTAGTATATATATATATATATATATATAATTCACCTATTATACAATTCAAATATTATAGTATTTTTATTTCAATACAAATATGACCTGTATTATAGTCATTCGAATCATTTTGACGCAAAAAATATTTATTTAAGGTCCATTTGTTTATTTAAAATTTTTAAAAATAATCTTTAATTAGAATCATAATTAACGACCTAATTAATGTGTAGTATGAGATAAGAGACAGAGAGTTATAAGAGTCTTAGAATTGTAGAATGAATGAAAATCTTACTCAAAAAATTTGAAGGGGGGGAGAGGACTTTTAGTATTAGAACCGTCGGATCAATATTTCTTCAAGCGATCTGAGCCGCGAAATGTTAAAGATAAAAAAATCTAACTACTTTATTATATAGATATTTGATATTAGAAGACCACAAAAATCATTGAATTCATCATTTTTCATGATTTTGAAGCCATGGCTTCAATTAAACCGCACACTTCCATTTCGCTCCGGATTATCCCAAATTCATTCACATTAATCTTATGGACCATGCTAAGAAAAAATAACCTGAGTGAGTCATCTTGAATTTTTGTAGATTGTATATGATAATTGATGATGCACAAATTAATTTGCACACCACTAGTTAAGTTATAGTATAAAATGCAGTAAGTAGAAGGGGAGAGAAGACAAGATTTATAGTGGTTCGGTCAATACGACCTATGTCCACTTTGAATGGCTAGGTTCGTCAGAATTTTATTATCTCCAGTGTGGAGGGAGAGCACATGATTACAAGCTTTGAGAGGAGAGGAGAGAATTATACTCAAATGAGTCTGATGCCCCCTAAGTGTTGGGGGAGCTTATAATTTATAGTGGCTTGATATAGTAATTGTATTACTAGTCTGACGGTCATAATGGCTTAGGATCATTTGATAGGAATTAGGTAGCTGATTTGGCAGAGGCGACCTATCATCTTCTCAACGGGCGAGGTGTGA